AAAAAAAAAAACCAACCCATAGCTGAGTAGCATCTGGACCAGAGGTTGAGGCTTCGCGCCTCCGTTTTCCCACCTATAAAATGTAGTTCACAGGAAGCTCCCCCTGGCCGGGGCTGCCTGGGTCCTGCTCAGTCAGATTCCCCAAGGTTCCTTGCTGTGGTGCTGCCCACTCCCCCTTAATCCTGATTGCTCTTCCTGGACACTGCTTTGTCTTATTTCTGTCAAAAAGACTCCACCTGCCTGCCCACACCCTGGCCCTGGCCCTCCACCCACACACACGGACCCCCAAGTCATGCATGCTCCTTCGCTCAGTCCCAACCCCTTGGTCCCCTAGAGGCGCCAGAGTAAAGTGTCTTATCCTTTCCCAGGACACAGCTCTCAGCAGAAGCAGCAGCACCCCCCCCCCCCGCCCCCACATCCTGCAAGCAGGCCAAGATACCTTGTTGGCCCCCAGGGCTGACACAAACACAAGACAGACGGAAGCATTCTGGAAAACGAGCACCTGTGCTGGAACTTACGAGCCGCGCAACCTGGAGGTTGGCCACAGTGGTGCCTGTGAGTAAGGCGCCAGGCCGAGGGGCGGTGACTGTGGTGAGCTGGGGGCTCTGCTGCTGCGGGGGCTGCTGGGGCTGCACTTGCACTTGTGCTGGAGGTTGTGGGGGTCCTGGCTGGGTCGGTGGGGGAGGGGGCTGCGGGGGCAGCTGCATTTTCTGCTTCTGCATCTTGATGATGTGTTCCTGAAACACACACAGGTAAGTATGTTCTCTTCCACACAAGCCACACTGCACTCTTCAGTTCACACACACAAATTTTAAGTTACTTCTCTGGCCCCAGTAAGTAACATGCTACAGATCCGCCAATAGACAATGCAAACCATCCTCTGCAGGCAAGTGCCCAGCTGTTCAAAATTAGCATTTCAGTAAGGACGGGAAAGCGGGACTCTGACAGATGGGCAGGTTCGCAACATTCCTAGGTTTTGATCTCTCACAAACAATTTAAGTATGTAGCATCAAATTAACAGTAAGCTAGCAATATACTGATAAAATAATAGTAATAACATAGTTAAAAGAAGTGAGTACCTTAAGATAGTTCAAAAAATGTTTTAATAAACAAACAGTGCTAGTATGATAGTGCACAGCTGCCACCCCAGCACCCTAAGAGGCTGAAGAGGGAGGATTCCAAGTTTAAGCCCAGTCTGGAGACAACCTGTTGACAAGGAAAGACCCTGCCTCAAAATAAAAACCAGAAAGGGCTGGAGATGTGGCTCAGTGTGAAAGATGTGGATTCAATCACTAGTATGTACTTCCCAAAACGCAGAAGGGGAGAGAGGGGTGGGGGGGCGGGTTCTTTAAAAAGAGAAAATTTTCTTTAAAAAGAAAACTTATTGAGTTGATGGCGATTGTCAGGTCTCTGGACACGGAGATGCCTGACACTGACTTAGGACAGGCAGGCTGAAGGCTGAGGAGGCAGGGTGTGTGCAGGTGCTTCAGGCTCCCGGAGCTAAGATGGCGGGCGTCGCGTCCAGAGGCAGCTCACGCCTGGGAAGGCGCAGCTGCAATCGCTCTGTCTCAGAGGGAGTAAGGTAAGCATGGGCCCTGACCCAGTGCTGCAGGACATGGAGGCACGAGGAAGCCCAGGGCGCCGGGTGCTTCTGTACCACCCCAATCTGCAGGCATGAGCCTCAGCTCTGTGGAGTCCCTGGCCTCTGACAGGCTTCCCCTCCTGCAAGGCCAGGCCCAGCAGCAGGCCTGGCCTTCTCACTGGTACTGGTGTTTTCTGGTTCCCTTCCTTGGATGACATCTACTTGAGACTGTCCATGTGTGACAGGGAGGTAGCACTTCCTTCTAAAATGAACAACTCTGCATAACTGAAACCAAGTGCAGCATCCAAGCTAGCAAAAATCACAACAGCCCAGTTCAAATAGGCCCAGGCCCTGGCTCCTGCCCCTCAGAAGCACTGGGGCACCTCCTCCCCAGTCTTCCCTTATAAAAACCAGTACCAGTGAGCCAAGATGCACCACGCACAAGCGGGGTGAAGAAAGGATGCATTTGCAAACAGGGACTCTGGTCCCGAAGTGCCACAGCAAGCCCCAATGCACTCAGAAGTGTGATCCCGTGTATTAAACACCACGAAACACGCTTCCTACCTAGAGGCTAAGACACGTTTCTGCAGTACAGTTTGAATCGCACTATGCAACAGGCCTATCTGTGAGACCTGCCTACCCAAGACCTCCTGGGAAGTACTCACCGGTGCCAGCTTGCCCACAGCCTTGATCTGAGCAGGGGACTGGGCCTGGCCCTGGATCTGCGGGACCTGCACCTGAGAGGGCTGCTGCGGGGGCGGCGGTGGCTGCTGCTGCTGCTGCGGCTGCTGGGGCGGCGGCGGCGGCTGCTGCTGCTGCTGCTGCTGCTGCTGCTGTCGGAGAAGCTGGAAGTGTGCAGGGGTGATGGTTTTTCCAGGCAGTTGCACCCCTGTGGCTGGGAAAAGATCTGTCATTAGCTCCCCTAGCCTCACTTCTGGGCCATAGTACACGCTCCAGAAGCAGGCACAGACACCAAGTCCCTTACCTTGGGATACCTGAGTTACCAAAGACCGGGCCGGGGTCTGCACTGGGGTCAGGTTGGTGGTAACCACTGCTGAGGCTGTCACAGAAGTGACCGCTCGAACACCCTGAGTTGTTGCCATAGACACCAGGTCAGTAGTCGCAGTGGCTGGCGAGCCAACTGCTCGTTGCTGGGTGTGGACCACCTGTGCAGGAGCTGAGCCTCCCGAGGTCTGCAGAAGCAAGCAGCAGCTCAGCACACATGTCACAACATGCTCCGGGCCCTCCCCTCGCAGAAGCACTACATGCCCAGGCTCCAGAACGGAGGCGTGGCTGCACCCAGGAGTTCAGTATCTGACAGAGGGCTGCACATGCACGGCTCTCTGTAAGCGCAAAGACATACAGGGAACTGCAGAACAGCACTCTCTCTCAGGGACCCACACTAAGAGGAAAAAGAACCATCTCAGAGGACAACGTCTGACCCACAGGTCCCTCTTGCTTTGCTTAGAACATGGACTCTCCATTACCCTCCCAGCTCCATGCCCACATCCAGGCCCTACACCAGCCCACTCCTGACTGCCAAGTCAGGACACATCCTGGGCTCTTCCAGCCTCCACCTTCTCTCCCCTGACCGAGATTCAGAGTCAAGCCCCAGCCCACCGTCTGGCCACGTTCAGCCCTGTCACGACTGCCACCACCCTTCCCCAGGCCATGATGCACCACTCTCACGCCAGCTGGGATGCCTGTCACAGGGTCCCTTTCCCTCCGCAAGCCACATTAGCTCAAACATCTGTGTTGTCATGCACAATTTATTGCTGACCCTTTTACACTGCGTCACTTCTCTATGTGAACTTAAATCTAGTGCATTACTGAGCTTGCTATTCTGTTGTCTCCCTTCATCTGTTTTCTTACCTTTTCCCTTTGTTCTCATCCAATTTTCCTTATCAGTGTCTAAGTCATACATTCTATTTCTGTTCTTTTAGTAGCTCAGGAGTACTTATCAAACTCACAAATTTTAAAACAAGCCCACCCCATGCAGTTACGTAATGCCCTGCAGATGAATTCTGCCTTTCCAGCCCACAGTGAAGAGCTGTCTGTGGGCCAGCTTGCCCACCTCCTCCCTCCGTATGCCCAAGGTCTTCCTTTCCACCTCTGCCTTCCTGAGCCTTCCCAGCTGTCCAGGCCAGGAGCACCTTCTTGCTGCATGAGGTGCTTGAGGCCCACTCATAGTCCCCTCTGTTGTGTCTCAAGAGGCCTGCATTTCGCCCTTGTTCAAAGAACACACAGTATCAGTGGTGGCAGTCATGCCCTTCTGTGGGCCTGGCTACATCCCGGCACCGGGTGGCAGGCTGCATCGGAGGTCTGGTCCTCTTTTGCCACACGGTGTAGTGTGGTCCTTTTCCCTCTTCTTGACTGGGACGAGTGGACTTTTCACACATACAGGTCAGGATCATGTGGTGACTCCTCTGCTTTCCAGCATCATCCCAGGTCAACATTACTAAGCATGGCTGGGCCCTCTCACTCTGTCTTCCATCTCCTCTCCTCTCAATGCCACTGGGCAGCTCCTCATTTTGTCTAGCTCACTATTCTCTCTTCACCAGTATGACCAAAGCTCAACCACAGGGCTCCATCATTTCGACTTTGCTGACAACACTTTTCACTCCTAAAAGCCCTTTATCCTACTTTTAGGGGCTGGGGAGATAGCGCAGCAACATAGCACCTGTCTAGCAAGCACAAGGTCCTGAGTTCAATCCTAGGTACAAAAAACAAAACAAAAGAAAAAACTACTTTTAAGTATCATTCTCTTTGGGCTGAAATGGAGAGTGTAACTATTCACAATCCATGCCTGGCAACCCACGTCCCGTTCCATGAACCTGGCTATGGTCTGCCGCTATGCTGGTCTCGCTCAAGATTACCTTGTCTTCTTCTGAGCCTGGCTATTTTTTATTGTGTACCACTTGTCAGCTTGAAAACTGTGGAGATTCAAAGCAGTAGGGGACGGAAGCATGATCCTCCGGAGTCTGGCCTTCATCACTTCTCAAGGGGCTTGAAAGCCCCTGCTGGGTGCCACCCCCTCGTGCACGAGCTCGAGGAGCCGGCTGGCTGCTACACTGAAGCTCCCCTTTCTAGCCAGGGTGCACTTCACATCTTGCAAATCCTGCCCTCAGCAGTGCCAGCCTGTGTGCACAGCTGCTCTTGAACTACCTTGGGTGAGCCCCATCTGGGTGAGCCTGGGGCAGACCGTGAGTCTCCTGTCCCCAAAGCTAACATTATTCTCAAGGCAAACCCAGCTTCTGGGCATGCCATTCTTCTCTCTGGCTTTTCCTCTCCCTTAAATTTGGGCTTGGTAACTATTCATTTGTTGGTGTAAACTTCTAGAAGATCTCTTAAAACTTGTCTAATAAATTTGGTTTTCTGAGAACTGCATAAAAATACTTATTACCACAATCAGAAGTCCTTTCTGGACTACTGGGAGAGTGTCTCAGGCTTTTCTGTGCTCTCAATTCTACACACAGGATATGAAATTGTGCTCCCAGGCCGCCTCTTTCACAGACTACCCGCTTCCTGCTGAGTGAAGCCCACTCCTCTGACTCCCAGCCTGCATATCCCACAGTGCAGCACGGCAGGCCCTTGATGAGCCCAAGGAACCAGCACTGTCCCGCTCCCGCAGTGTGGGCTCTACCCCAGGCAAGGCCCACTGCCCACTGCCCGCTGCCACTTCTGCTCACACCATGTGCCTCGCCCCTGGGGACAACGCATAGCCTTTGTTTTTTGCGGAACCAGGAATTGAACTCAGGCCCTTGCGCTTGCCAGGCAATTCTACACAGAGGATACTGAGTGTAGAATTCTACTGAGCTATCTCCCCGGCCCCGACAACACACATCCTAACCTGTGTGAAGGATGAAAGTGCCTTCTCTCAGAAGCTGCCCCTAACTCCCCTAAAAAGAAATGAGCCTGCAAAGACGGGAGCTGCGAAGGCCCTCTGTCTCCCTGCAGAGGTCTACACCACAGCCTAGGGGGGATGCAGGCTGTAGAACCTTTATCTGGAACACTGGGATCACAGGTACTTTGGATCTGGAGTTTTTCAAGGAGTTGAAATATACTCCCCCCACCTTTTTTCCCCCAAATACACCACTAAGGCTGGTGAGATAGTTCAGTGGTCTAAAGTGCCTGCTTAGGCAAGCTTTGGCAGGTGTAGGGGACTGCGGTTCGATCCCCAGCACCACATGCTATGCCAGCCCCACCCTCACGGTGGGCTGAGCTGGGGGGGGGGGGACAAAACACTAAATTCAATGATTTTGGCTTCCTGCCCCATAGAAATAGCAGTACTAGGGCCAGTGAGATAGCTCAGCAGTTTAAGGACCTGCTTGGCAAGTGCAGGGTCTTGAGTTTGATGCCAGGCACTCAAAAGAAAAGAAAAAGAAAGAGCGAGCAAGCGAGCAGCACTGGCGATTCAAATGCTCCTAATGCTCCTAACAGCTTCTGTTACTCACTGAAAAGGCTGCACCGAAAGCAGTTTACTGCAAAACAGGAATCAAAATCAATACAATCATTTTAAATTGCATGCTCATGCAGCAGCAGTAGGCCTCTGAGCTTCCTTGCCCCCTGGCACCATACTTCCTAGATGGCCTCGGGTCACACGGGCTCACCACAGTTCATGATGCTACTGATGGGCAGAGGACACAGGGCAGCTTCTGTTTTAGCAATGACAAAGCCACAGTGAACACACAGCATCCAGGTTCTCTGAGTACATACTTGCATTTCTTTTGGAGAAATGTCTAGCAGCAGAAGTGCTGGGCTGCACAGTGAAAGTATATGCTTAACTTTACAAAGCTAACCCTGGCTGCCCATGAGATGCCACAGGTCAGGGCTGGAGTTGCACAGCTGGTCACAGGGGCACAGCAGAGCAGTGCGGTTTCCGCCCTGCATCCCCAACTGTCTGTGATGTGTCTGCGTCTATGCATCCTCTCTGGTGACTGACCAGTACATCTTCTGTTCATCTGCATACCAATCAGTCCTCACATGCTTGGCAAATATAGTTTCCCACTTTGTGCTTTTACCTTTATTTTCTTAGTATTTTTAAGAAGGAATTTTTATTTACTTTTTACTTTTATGAAGCAATTTTTAATTTGATGAAATCTAACAATTTTTATTTTTACTTCTTCTTGGTTTAGAAATGTTTACCTAAACCAAGGTATTAAAGTTGTTCTCCTGTTTTGGCTCAAAGTCTACGGTTTGTGGTCAGGCATCGTGAAGCACACCTGTAATCTCAAGGCTTGGGAGACTGAAGTGGGAGGATTGCCAGGAGTTTTAAGCAAGTCTGACTTTCTGAGCAGCTGGACTACACAGTAAGACCCTGCCTCAAAAGAAGAAAGGGAGGGAGAGAGACCGGGGGGGAGGGAGAAGGCAGAGGCAGAGACAGACAGACAGACAAGACAAGACAAGAGAGCAAAAGAGAGAGAACGCGAGAGAGCGAAAGCAAGAGCACCAGCCAGCCAGCCTTCTGGTCTTACATTTAGGCCTAAGATTCATTCTGAATCATGTTTTGTCATCTGAGTGACAGGCCGAGGTTTACTGTGGTGCACACAGCACTATACAGACTGCCCACTGGACTCCTGGGCGCCTGGAAGGAGACTACATGGTACGTGCACCCACTTCTGCACTTTTTACCAACTCCACTCACGTATGTACCTGTCCTTTGCCTGTGCCATGCTATCCAGAGAGCTCATACGCTGCCTAGGTACCTGCTGCACCATCGCGTCACCTCTCTGAGGCCCCGCTGGCCTTTACAGTCTGGAGTACGTGCACATCCGAAGTGCTGCCCGCAGAGGCCCCTGCCCCCTCCTTGTCCCCTCCTCCTGCACAGGGCTCTTCGAGGGCTACTGTCAACTTCTGCTCCACCACAACCTGCTCTGGACAGTGATGACACAACCAAGTCCCGGACTGCAAGGCACCCTCAGATCCACCCACCTCCTGTCTGGAATTCAGCATGGGAGGAATGCATGTATGCACACATGCATGCACGTACACACATGCCGTGGCTGCACTCTCTGAGCACCAAAGAGATGCCGTGACTCAACACCCAGTGTGTGGAAGCAGCTGTCCTGATGGGCCACCTCCTCCCTCAGTGCTGCTCTTACGGAGGATGCAGTCGCTTCCCTGAAGGACCAAGCCATGGTGTGGTGTGCTCTGGGGACAGGGGCCACTCACAGTCAAGGTTCCAGGGGCCACAGGCGATGCCAGACGCTTGTTAATGGACTGGAACGTGGCAGCAGGGACACCTGCGATAGTGTTCACGATCACATTGCCACTCACGGTGCCTGCAGAGGAAGTCATGCGCATAAGAGAATGAGAAAAGCTTTATGCTCTCATTCACTCATCTTTGGTCTGGCATGAGCTGAGGGCCTTCATACTGTGCTACATCCTCAGATCTTTTTATTTTAAGACAGGTTCATTAAATGGCTAGGTTGCCATTGATCTTTTTTTTTGGAGACAGGGTCTTGCTGCGCAGGTCAGGCTGGCCTTGAGCTCCTTTTGTAGCCCAGGCTGGTCTTAAACTCACAATCCTCCTGCCTCAGCCTCCCCAGTGCTGGGATTACTGAGGTACACCACCATGCGTGGCTTTTCTTTTTGACATTTTTTTCTTTTGGTTGCCATTCCTGCCTCAGCCTCCCAAAGCGCTAGGATGATAGGTATGCTTCTCCACACTACTTCAGCACTTCTGCAGCCTCCTTACCTGTTGGAATACTTGTGCCAGTCACTGAGGTTTTAATAGTTCCTGCCTGTGTGAAAATGAAAACTTGAGTTTCATGCCAAGCCCTGTCCTGCCCGAACCTCCAAAGGCTCCAATTTTATCCATAATCAGACCCAAACCCCAACCACACATACACAGCCACCCGGGTCACCCTGGCCTGGCCCCCTGCCTACCCTATGTGCGCTGTTCCTGGTCACACTATCCAGCATGCTGAATCCCCAACCACTCACAGCCAACTTCCTGCCACTCAGAAAAGCCCCACCCCACCCCAGCTGCCACCCGCCTGCTACCTTACAGCACAAGATGACCGTCACCTGCTCCCCATTGTCTCGTCCAAGGAAGCTCCCCGCACCAAGGACATGCTTAGGGAATTTTTTTTTTTTTGGGCGGGGGGTGGGGGGGCCTGGTACTAGAGAGCACACTGGAGCACTCTGCTACTGACTAAGCTACATTCCAGCCTGTTTCATTCTCATTTTTTATTTCTAAAATAGGATCTCACTAAGTTGCCAAGGCAGGACTGAGACTTGGAATCTTCCTACTTCAGCTTTCCAAGTAGTGGAGTTAAAAGGGGTGGACCACCACATCTGGAGGAACGGTATCACTGAATGAATAAAAGTGCTCAAGGGCATGTAAGCTTTCCAGTACTACCAGATACCGCTTAAACTGATAAAGAAAATGGCTCTACATAAAGTATGTTCTTTTTTTGTGGTACTGGGGATTGAACTCGGGACCCTGGGCTTGCCACGCAGGTGCTTATGCCACTGAGCTGTCTCCCACGCCTGGTGCACAGTCCAGAGCAAGTGTTTCCCAAATTCAGCACAGCACGTTCTCTGCAAGTGTGTGACACATGCACACAGCACACTGAGGCATGGGCATCGGCCAGCATGCTCTGCAGGTCCACACCCACCTTTTGCTTCCTCATGCTCTGCACTGGGTTACTTTCACAGCAGTCATTTAGGACAGGCGAGGGGTGTACACCCGAGTGCTTGTTCATGGAAGGGTGGCATGACAGAAAAGGTGGCTTTTCTGTGCCCTGTGTGTACACAGTGCCCCAGGGCCCGCCTTGGGACAGCAACTCCTCTCCCACCCCTCCCGTCCCCTTAGCCTTGTAGGCTAACTCTTCAGGGCCTGCAGATCCAACCCATGCCTAAAGACCGTAGGGACACAGGCTCTCACCAGCACTGCAGCACTGCCCACAGTTGTGATCGCAGGCTGTCCTTTAGGTGGGGCCTGCACGGGCTGCGGCTGGGCCTGGGCTTGTGGCTGGGGCGGGACAGCTGGCTGTCCTGTTGGTGGCTGGCTGCCAGTGGCCTGTGCCTGGGGCAGCGATGGGGGTGGCTGCTGAGGGGGTGGTGGGGGCTGCTGCTGCTGTGGCTGCTGCTGCTGCTGCTGGGGGGGCGGCTGTGCCACTGCTGGCTGCTGAGCTTTCTGCTGGTCAGCCAGAGCCTGGGAGGATCAGGCAGAAGAGAAGCTGCTGGAGGAGACTCAGCTAGGTGACAGCACCTCACAGCTGCCCCACACCCCCTGGAAAGCCACACCCAGGGGCCATACCTTTTTCTCCTTTGCAATTCGTTCTGCACGGAGAGACGCAACCTGGATGGGAGGCAGCGGTTTGTCGTAGTTGATCCCACTGAAAGACAAGTGGGAAAGTCAAATGACAGTCCTGGCCTACCTGTGGTTCCAGTGAGCTGCGGTCCACCAAGATGCAGAAATACTAAGTGGCAGATTCCAGAAATAAAGATTCGTGAGGTGTGAACTGCACACTGATGGGAAAGGGGGACAGGGGCATCAAAGCACATTACACACATGTACAAATATGTTGTGACAAAATCTACTTTTTGTATGAGTAACGATGAAGAAAAGAAAAACCTTTACAAGTAGTTAATAATGACCAAAGCAGAAAAAGACTGCACACTGCTGAAGAGTGTGAGGAAGTCTCCATCATTCCGCTGCCCTTGCCAGAACAGTCCACGCCTCTGTCCACCAAGTCCAAGTCACACAGCAAGCTTCTTGGTCCCCATGCTGTCACAGTGCGACGGTAACTGTGCTCGGGTCACCCTTATTTTACAGAACAACTATCTCAGATCGCTGGTGACTGAGGCCGAAGCAAAGCTGAGGAGCCCTTCTAGGTGGCAAGAAGTTCAGAGTCGTCTGCAGTTCCAGACGCAGAGCTACGCAGCGGGGAGCTCTACAGATGCCCAGCCTCCATCCACAGCCCACAGGGGCCCAGTTCCTATGACTTCCAGGCACAGCCCAACAGCCCCCCAGACACGCCTCTCCCAGGCAGCACAGAGAAGTAACAGCACCTGTGTGCAGCCGTTCGCGGCCCCGCTCTGCTCCCCTGGTTACAGCCATGGGCCCTGAGCCTGGCTGCCCCTGCCCACACAGGAAGTCAGCTGGCTGCAGCCTTCTGCCTTCAGTTTCTGCTCGTAGCTCAGCTCATTCCTCCTCTTGTAACAGCACGTGGCAATCTATCTGCTACTTGTGAGGTGCTCTTGTTCCCATCTTACAGCAGATCACAGTGGGGAGAACAGTGCCCAGCTTGTCCCGGGCTACTACGCTAAGCCACAGCCACAGGCTCTCAACAGCCACCAGCTGAGCAAAGTCACCTCTGCCTAAGTGACAGAAGGTGACTCCACCTGGCTCTGTGCTGCCCACCAATCCCTGTAGCTCTAGCGCTGAGGCACCCATGGCACGAAGAAGAGCAGAGCAGAACAGGCCAAGACTGCCATCCTCCACACAGGCAGGGCACCTGGGCTGCAGCAAGGGTGCAGGCACCAGGGCATAGCCAGGGGAGCTGCCTCGGACTCTCAGCAGGTGTGCTATGAGCTGACCTCCTGTGGTGAAGACCCTGCCTGGCAGGTGCATGCAGAGGCGCTGTGGAGAGCCCAGGAAGGAAGCAGGGGCAGGCCAGGACAGGAAGAGGCCCAGCCTGCAAGAGGGCACTGACGACACCTGAGCCTGTGGCAGCTATTCCATCTGAGCAGACCTTTTTTAAACAAGATTCTAAACAGCTGTGTGCACAAAATGCCTAGCGCTCAGGACTCCAGAACTCAGTTTACCCGTTACTTCCTTCCACCTTCCTAGCTCCTCATCTACCCACTGATGCATCTTTTTCCCTAAACTTCACTGGAACTTGTGCCCAAGGAGAGGTGGCACATAAGGAAGAAAGACTTGTGACCACTGCCCCAGCCCATGAGCACACCGGTCACACCACGATCCATGCCCTCAGAGTACTGGCAGTGGCACACAAGGCTCTCCACACCGGTGTGTGGCAGGACTGTCCCTGTCATTTTGGTGTAGGTGCTAAGCACACATTACCCTAAGTTACTGAATTTATGTGAACCTTGAGCAAACCCCCTCCAAATAGCAGGCAGGGTCTCCCAATGCTCGGTACCTTTCTGCCAACACAGAGGCATGCTTGGGGTTCTTCTGAAAGGGGTTCATGCCAAGCCTGCAAGGCAGAAAATGAGACTGCAGTTACTAAACAGGAGAGACAGAGCCATAAGCCTACACCAACACCCGAGCCTTACGGTCCGCCAGTCATGAACAGCATAAAGTGAGAACCGGGACACACAGAGGTTTGATTGGCGGGCTCCTCTTGCCAGCCGTCATCTTCATCAGGTCGAAGTGGCTTGTGTACAGCTGGGTGTGGGTGGCGTTCTCATCCTGGGCATAGATCTGGCTTGTGCGCAGAGGGCGGTTGTTCTTGCTCTGAAACAGCAGGTAGGAGTGTTCCATGGTGCTGGTGGCCTGTGCCATGGCCACTCCTTGAACAGGACTCAGGGGACTGAGGCTATGGCTCCAAATGGCTGAACCCAAATGTCCCCTTCCTTCTCTTGGACACAGTATGTGGCCTAACCCGCAGGCTGGGCAACTGGGAATGAGCCCCATTCTGCAGGAAGCCCCACTATGATCCAGCTGAGAATGTAGACACCCCACGTTTGTGGAGTCACCCTGCAGTGGTAGGGAGCAGCCAGGGCACCAGCTTTGCTGTGCAAACCCAGTGCACACCAACACTAAAGGGCAGTAGTGACGCGGACACCTCCAGGACACCTGCAAGGATGTTCTGGTGCTCTGTGTCATCTGTGCTAGCTGAAGTCTCCTCTGCACACCCCACATGAACAGAAGGCCAGTCAGCAGTCTCCTACCTGCTCCCGAGACACCTCAGTGGCCCTTCACCTGAGAGAAAAGCACCCAGGACGCAGCCTGTGTGAGGCCCCAGAGCCAACCAATGTGGAGTTGGGACAAAAGCTCAGAGCCCCTCACCAGTCAGGCTCTGAGCAGCCCTAGGACCAGCGTACACAGCGCATGCAGGGCATGATGTATGGTACATGGATATGCACACAGGGGTGTGGCCAGCTGCTAGAGACTCAGTGCCTGAACCTCAGACCAACGTCCAGGAAGTCAAAACCAGAAAGCCAATGTCAAGCCCCCAGACTATCTCTTGCACTCTGCATCATGTGTGGCATCTTCCTATTCAGGAATATGCCTGAGCAGAGGGAGGTACCGAGACAAGAACAAAACCAGGTGCGCCAACAATGCCAGAGAGGAAGGTACACCAGGCTCCAGACGGGAGAACTGTGCTTGCACCCTCAGGACTGGGGCCTGTGACTGTCCTATCCATGTGTACACCAGCCAAAGGCACAGGCTCAGGGGGGTAAGCACTGGGAGGCTCTCAAGTCTACTCCGCAGGCTCAGCGAGGGATGGTGTGGTCCCAGTGCAGACAAGCATACCCCCAAGAGCATGAGTACAAGGCACTCCAGGAGATCCCACAGCAGGGATTCCTATATTAAACTTAGGTCCCCCCCAAAAAAAACCTTAGGTCCCTCCTGAACCTTTCTATGCTCCTGCGCCCAGGTGTGGGGACAAGTTTGCATCTCATTCAGGTTTTAATCTTACAGTCAGAAAGGTATGACTGCAGCTCTACGCTGCTGGGCCAGCCCAGGTGGTGAGAAGCAAAGTCCCACACGCACCTACTGCTGGAAGTGGGGCCTGCTCCTGTACACAGTGGTGTAGGGTAGCAGAGGTGCACACAAAGCAATGGAGTAGACTGGTGGCACACCCTCATCCCAGCCAGGATGCCCACAGCTGGCTTCCCAGCCAGGACTCAATGTTGCACTGCACCAAGTGCATAAGGACCTGCGGCACACAGCCATTCCTGAGGGCACCTGCTTTCCAACCACTGACTCCACAGCAAGATGCCAAGGAAACAGGAATGACCCTGCATAAGCCAGTAACTAAGAAAAGTACTCATCTTTGCCTCCCAAATTTTCTTTGAAAAAAGAAACACATGTGATTCACTTTGCCACTGTCCAGGCCTGTTGTCACCATGCTGCAAGATGCTACTAGGGTGATGCACAGCAGGGCCCAGAAACCTGCATCCTCCCAGGGAGACCAGGGAGCAGGAATCACCTTTCCTTCCTCTCTGGGGATGATGACATTTTCATAGCGATTCCGGCACTGCTTAGAAGAACGGTAGATTCGACTGCAGGAGTTCACCACATCACTGACGAGATCCCAGTTAGGTGTGTGGGCAGGTGACACAATTGTGAGGTTCAAGGGCAGCTCAAGTAACTGCTTTACAGCCTGGAAGACAGGGTGGCAGATCAAAGAAGTCACGATACTGCAAGTGCAAAGGGCTTCCCTCACCCTCAAGACCCAGACAGCAAGCAGGCTGTCTTGAACCTCATGTAGGCTCCTATGCTGGGTGCCAGTACATTCATGCTACAGTCTGAGTCTAGATGTCGCCCAAAAGCCTCATGCAGTCTTAGCCTTGTTTGCAGATAGTTAAATATACAATTTGTGATTGACTCAAGGTCCAACGCTGGGATTACAGGTGTAAGTGCTATGCCTGCCCTAGCATAGGTAACCGCCATGCAATATGTGGGACAGAAAAAAAGCTTTCCTCTGCTCTCACTCCCTTTTTGCTTTTGCTGTCTTCCATCACCATGAACTACTGCCCCTGTGGCATGTGCCACCCTGCCTTGTAACCCAGTCAGCCAGTCATGGACTAAAGCCTCCACAGACTGTGAATTTAATAAACCTTTTCTTCTTAACTTTGGGCGCTGGGTACTTTGTCTCAGCAAGGAGAAAAGCAACTAAGATTGCTCACCTGCAGCAGGGCCCAGTCCTCGCCAATAAGCCACTCTGGGCTGTCCTGTGGCGGCTCCCCAGAGGACTTGACATAGGTGGGCAGTGGCTTGGCAAAGGGTGTCTGCTGCTTCAACAGCAGATTCTTCTTCTGCTCCTTGCCCTCACGCCGGATCTTTAGCATGCCTGGTGTGGCCCGGTCAAACAGGGACCGAGGTGGCACGACCGCCTCACCATGCCGCTGTTTCTTCTTTCTGCCTGCAGCTAAAGGAGGCCAATGTCAGCAGGGCAAGACCGGAGAGCCCCTGCCACTGGATAGGAGGAAGGCTGTGGGCCCAAGGGCTGGGGAAGCTCCTGCCTGATGCTTTCTTTCACCACTAAAGACAGGTACAAATGTCAAGGCCTCCAGGCAAGGGACACCAAAAAGCAGGAACAAACCACAAAAGGCAGCGGGGAGGGGTGGGCTGTGGTCACTCCCCTGAACCCCCTCCCCCACAGGAAGGAAAACCAGTGACTGGCGGCCCCTCCACGCATGGCAACACCCAGCGCTACACCTGACGGGTCTGTCTTGTGCCTCTTGCGCTCCTTCCTCACATACACGGGGGGCAGCTTAGCTTCTGGGATGGGCAAGGTCTCATACATCAGACACATGACAGAGTCAATGTAGATGTCATTGTCATCCTGGGGGGGTGTGGGGGGTGTCCAGAGCTGCACAGAGAAAGCACAGCACATGAGAGGCAGGCAGAACCATGGAAACTGGGTTCTCTGGGCACAGGGAGAGGGTCTCCTTACCGGCATAACCTCTGTCTGCCCATCAGCACCCTCATAGACGTATTCCTATAGGGAACATGGGCCAGTTTAACATTCAATAGCTCTGTTTCACACTGAACACCATAAACTGTTCATTTTCATACTTATGTGTCCCAGAGAAATCTGACCAGCATGACTTAAAAGTGACCTTAGGGCCGGCCAGGTAACTCAGCACATTTAAAGTGCCTGCTTAGGCAGATGCAAGTGTCGAGGGTTAGATCTCGACCTGCTATGCTGGTCCCGCCCCCGGGGCATGCTGAACAGGCAAATGAGACTGGGTGTGGCGGTGCATGCCTGTAATCTCAGCGCTTGGGAGGCTGAAAAACAGGAGGGTCACTACAAGTCCAATCTGTATAGTGAGACCCTGTACTAAATACATAAAAAAAAAAAAAAAAAAAAAAAAAAAAAAAAAAAAAAAAAATTGAATTTCACTCTCAGCTGGAAACACAGTGAAGGAAACCGCCAACACGTAACTGAGAACTCTCTAAGCACAGATTTAAGCTAAAGCAGTCTGAGAACATGGCCTCAGGGCCCTGCTTTGGGAGTGAACATGCGTAGCAGAGCTGTGCACATACCATGCTGTACGCATCTTCTCGAGTGTAGGTAAGCAGCTCTGCCTCCTCCTGCTCCCGCTGCACCTGAGCTTCCCTCTCCTGCAGGGCCTGGGTATTACGTGCCTCCCACGCCCTCACAGAGGCCCTCACGGCATCCTAGCAGGAAAACCACAGGAAACACACGCTCCAGATCAGAGCCAGCAGTACCCAGCTGGCTGGCCCCACCTCTGTAGCCCCGCTGCCCCCAACACACAACCCAGTCTGCAGCACTGGAATGCTCCAAATCAAACACAAAGGCACTGAGGTAGATATGAGCCCCTGAGGCCTACCCAGGCGGGTACCTGGCGTTTCACTTTAGGAGAGCATGCTCACTTAGCACTGAAAACTGCAAGGCTGTTCACATGTTGAAAGCTGACTTCTTACCTCACTGTTTCTCTCTTTCTCTTGCTTGATGGTCGTATGGAACAATTCCAGGTAATTCAAAGCATACTTCTCAATGGGAGTAAGCTATTTTAAAAGCACATTTTTTGAATGAAGTTAAGGGCAAGCTAGTAAAGTTCCCTGTAAAATCTAGTTATCAACATTTGAATTTAAAGGGGCCAGGGAGATGGCTCAGTAGAATAAGCACTTCCCTGGCAAGCACAAGGGCCTGAGTTCAGTCCCCAGTACCGGGAAAAAAAAAAAAAAAGGTGTACACACACACACACACTCTCTTAAAAACAAAAGAAACCCAAACCTGCTCCATGAAATCAGCCAGCTCCTCCAACTGCGAGGGCTCCTCATCCTTTCTGGAGTCCTCTGAATCTGAGCACAGCAGTCCAGGGCCGGGCGCAGGCACTGCCTCCTCTGCAGCTTTCTGTGCATCCTCCTCCAGGCACTCAATGCTCTTAAGGGCCTGCGGAGAAGCCGTGTTCAGACCAGTGGACACATGCGTCACGCGGAGGTGACACCCACACAGCCAGGATCCCCCAGGATCCCCAAGGTCCTTGTGGACACACAAGACAACAGGCAGGCCAAAGACGCACCACATGGCACAGAGGACCATCTGGGCATTCTAGGAAGCCCCTGGAGAGCTGGATGTACCATGGCGAAGGGTGCTGATGCACCTCAAGGGGATGGCTTCCTGTCACACTAGCCACACATACACATCACTGGCCACAGCCTCTGACAGACACAGGCTGGGGCCCACAGTGAACAGAAGATGCATAGCCCTGCGCCATGGATTCATAAGCACTCTCGCTGAGAGCCATGACAGATGTCATCAAGTCTCAAACTGTCCAAGACATGCCCATAGAAAAGCTGTCCCTGCTCCCTCTCTACAGCCATGGGCACCTCAGAGTTGTTAGAGGGCACCGCACTGACACTCACCTCTAACACGGGGTGGCTGTTGTTGTAAGACCTAAGTTGTGTACTATGAATAACCACTAAGAAGATAATATGCAATGCATTAATTATTATTATTATTATTATTATTATTATTATTATTATTATTTTGTTCCTCGAACGGCTTTAGGGCACTTTTGGCCAGCGGGAGAGTTGTGAGGTTCGAACTCCAGCAACCTGAGGCTGAGAGCTTTGTGGAAGCAGCCACTTAAAGGCCTGAGCTAGGGCCATGCCCCCGCAATGTATTAATTATTGAAACTGTCCTATTAATCAGTTTTGAAACTGTCTCGTTGTTTCTCAATAAAATTAGGAAAAAAAAAAAAAAAAAGACCTAAGTTGAAGCTAGCACAGACCTCTCCCAGGCAGCCGACCCACTCTCTGATTGCAACTCACATGACATTATTTCAGATGACAATCCACCAGGTACTACTGCAACCTCAGAGAATCTCTTAAGTGACTTGAACACAGAACATAACAATGCTGGATAATAGTAAGACCAGGAATCTCTACTTATCAAGAGATACTACTCAAGAGGCCAGCCAGATAGCTCAACGGACCTGTAGACCCTGTACTAAAAAAAAAAAAAAAAAAAGATACTAATCAAAATGATGCTGTACATATATTGGGCATAGGCCTCACACCCAGAATACAGAAAATGGGCCCAGGAGATAGCTCGGTGGCATAAGAACCTGCCTGGCAAGCGTCCTGAGATTAACCTCCAGTAGAAACAAAAACAAAAACAAAACAGAATAAAGAAAGAACTCTAACAGCCACTAACAAAATGAGAACAATACCATTTTTAAAAACGGGGAAAGGACTTGACCAGGCACTTTATTCAGCAGTGCCCGCGGTCAGAGTGTGGTCCTGTGCAGAGTGAGCCTCAGACACGCCAAGCCCTGGGTTCACTAGTGCCTAGCACTGCAAGTGGATCCACAAGAAGGGGCCCAAATCACCCAATAGCAAGTTGCAAACTAAAGCCACCATGACAGGCCAGCCCCCACCCCTCTAGGTCAGCTCAAGTGAGGCTGCTGGAGGCCCAGGCCTCGTGTCAGGGCAGCAGGGAGAACAGGAGCTGGCTCAGTCACATACATGCACGTGCCCAGCAGTACCTCCATTTCCAGGCCCTTAGCTGGCAGGGATGCAGGCCCCCATCTTACATGTCATGTGGAGACAGGCTGGGGAGACAGCTCAGTGGAATAAGTGCTTCCCCGGCAAGCGCAAGGGCCTGCATTCAATCGCCAGACTATATGTGGAGACAACACATGCTTCCAGCAAAGCACAGGCTCAGGAAGCAGCCCTTACAGAGAAACTGCGGGTTGCTCCACTGCAGGCACCTTGCGGCAGGGGAATGACAACCCTCCCATATAGAAGAGGGTCCTGCTAACTGTAGTTCACAGAGGGCAGCTGCGGCTCAACATCAGAGTGGTCACTCTGGGCGCGGTTGGGTGGCAGGGGGTCACTGGGGAGCTGGGGACATGCCCCTTCACAGGTACTCTAACGGCTCCCCTTACCCTGTGAAAACACGCCCAGTGGATCTTAATGAGGCAGACACCATTATACATACATTGACACATCAGCAAAACCTTCCTTACGCCATTCTCTGGTACAACCCTTCCATGAGCCAGCAGGGCAGGCTTGCGGCATGCGTCTCCAAGAATGCCCATGAATGCAGAGCACACTGGCCACAGCAGGGAGCAGCTACTACTGTAACACTGACCCCCACCTTCTGGTGACACCCCCATATCCAAGCTGGGACAACCTAGCTTCCAAGCAGGCGACACTCCAGCTTGACACCAGCCCTGACCCAAGACATCCCCTTTTGGGACCGGGCTGCCTCCGCTTGCGTCCCGCTGGTTTCCAGCTGGTGACAACCTATGCTGGATGTGTGCCCAGGTGCTCTCCCCTGGGCCTCCTGCACACCTCAGCCCCACGCGGAGTCTTCCCAAGCTGACTGCCAGTCTGTCCTCACTCATGCAAGAGTGAGGTGCCCACCTGCAGGCCCCCAACAAGGCAGTCACCAGGGACCCTTGGGAGGAACCTGAATGTGGAAGTCCTAGGCTCCTCTGCAACCACAGGGCCAGCACAGAGGCCTCCAGAGGGCACGCTGTGTTAGCAGGCTCACACTGCCTCACACCTTCCTTCAAGGTTGCATAAAACATGTAACAACTCCGTGGCTCGTGGTTCATCTGGAAAGGAATCTTTTCTCCTTTGTATCTTCTTATGCTGATGTGAATTTCTTTTCTACTTTTTTTTTTTTTTTGGTGGAACTGGGGATTGAACTCAGGCCCTTACCCTTGTCAGGCAAATGCTTATTCTACTGAGCCATCTCCCCGGCCCCAGTGAATTTCTTTTCAACTTCATGTGTATGTTACTCATTAAATAAAATGAGGAGGGCCTATACAGAATGATCTGTAAGATATTTCTTGGCACAGAATATAAAAACCAACATTAAAAAAAGTTAGTAGCTTTTCTAGCTGAGCATGGCAGCAAAACCTGATCCTACAGTTGGGAGGACCAATGCAGGACTGTGATGAATCTGAGGCCAGCTGGGGTTATTCCACAAGCCCCTGACAAATAAATAAATATCAGTTAACTGTTTTACACAACAATGAGCTAGCCAAGAAAAATAAAAACAAAAACAATTCCATTCACAAATTTAAAAAACAAAACAAAACCCTAAAACTAAACTACCTAGTGACCAATCTAACCAAGGAGAGAAAACCACCTAAACACTGAAGAAAAAGAACAAGGCCCTGCAAAAAATCAATCCCTAGTAGATCTAAGTCCTGGGGATAAGTTCACAAACTGAAACTGCTGAAAGCGAGCACAAAGACTTGAAGATACAGGCAGAGGCAAAGACGTCCTGGTATTAGGAAATAAAACAAGAATCATCAAAGCAAAAAGTTTCCGCATAGCAAGGGGAAAAAACAGTAAAGAAAGAGCCCATAACAGAGCTGAGTATAGTGGTGCAGGCCTATAATCCCAGCACTTCGGGAGACTGAGGAGAAGCATTGCTTAGAGTTCAAGGCCAGCGTGGGCTACAAAGTGAGTCCAAGGACAGCCTGACTGTAGAATGAGGAAGGCAGCTGGTGGGGTAAGGGGCTGCTACTGCAGGAGAGGCCACAGTGGTAGGAAGAGACCTGGCTGCAGTCACTGTGGTGCTGACACAAACTAAACTTCCTGTGGAATCAAAGCAGAATACGTAAGAACTACAGAGGAGGAGGAGAAAACCTACGGTGGCTGTGAAGGCCATGGTGCTATGTTTGTCAAACTGTGATCTTCTGATGATCATGAATTTAGACAGCATGCACTAACATCAGGAGCACTAACAGCCATGTTGAGTGGTTTGGGTCAGTCTGCTAAAAATGAAATCAATGAGGTCCGTCTTAGAGACTCCTTCCCTTGTGCTTGAGTCTGCATGTGTGTCACCTACGCAGGCTGCCTCACTGGCAGCTCCACCAAGATTACACAATGTCCCACCTGCCTGAGCTAGCACTGGAGCCCTGACGGCCACAAACTTACTAGATTGTTAAATAAAATGATTATAATAAACTGTATGTTTCAGCATTTAATACTTGTAGCTTGTTTAGTAGCTTTTCGTGTATAGCATGCTGCCTGTATGTCCCTGAACTATGTTAACTATAAAGCAGATTATCTTCCCTTTTTTGCACAGCAGAGTTGACACCTGTTTGCCACATCAGCAACTTAAGGGTATTTTCGCAAACAGAAATAACAGATATGACAATTTGCAGGTGGTTTTGCCTTATCTTTTGGATGTACCTTTTAAAATTAAAACAATGGTGATATAGCAAATGTTGAGATATACGCATAAGGGACTAGGGAGATGGCTCAGTAGAATAAGCGCTTCCCTGGCAAGCGAAAGGGCCAGAGTTCAATCCCCGGTTCCGCAAAGAAAAAAAAAAAAGAGAGATAGGCATAAAGGAACACATTCTACAGGTAAAATAATGGAGTTACATTTTTGAGATTTTTTTAAAAAAGCATTCTGATTTTATAGCTACTGATAAATATTACTAGTTATGTAAATAATATGATAAACATTTACAACAGTCAAAATATTTTATTTATGTAACTGTCAAGAAGCCCAACTTGGGGCCTGCCCATAGCTCAGCTGTTTAAGCGCCTGCTTCAGCAAAGCCCTCAAGCTCAAGCTTCTGGGGTTCCAACCCAGACAGTCACTGCAAACCAGAAATGCCCTAAAGGCATGTCGAGACTCAAACAACAACAACAACAACAACAACAAAAACAACCTTCAATAAGCCCAACTTCCTTTTCCTTTTTCCTTTCTCTCTTGGCCAGCTCAGCCCACCCTAGGGGTGGGGCTGGCACAGCCTGTGGTGCTGGCATCCAATCTCGGTGCCTGTGCGCTTGCCTAAGCTTGCCTAAGCAGATGCTTTACAGACTGCTGAGCTATCTCATCAGCCCCACTTTAATATTTCTTGGGTTTTTTAACTATCGTAGTGTTTAACTGTATTGTTTTGTTTATTGCTAAGA